GGGGGGGGGGTAATTCATCCAAGATGTCAGGGAAGGGTCTGTGTAAAGAGGACCTGTCCCCCTGACTCCTCCACACATGTCCTGGCGATTTACCAAAACTTCATTGGGGCCCCTCTGTTACCCCAGATGCGGGGCCCGTGGTGTCTGTTATAGGAACCCCCCACCCCCATTTATATCCAATCATGAGGCGGGGAATTGGCCCTCGTACGTTCACACAGCGACGACCGGTGCTGACATAGACGGTGGAGGTGTACAGGGGAGCCACTGCACGGCGCCATCAGGTAAAGGATGAAGATGGCGGATAGTCTGCTGACATCACATGGGGGAGGAGCTACATGATGAATGTGCAATATACAGGGGGAGGAGCTACATGATTAATATGCAATATACAGGGGAGGAGCTACATGATAAATATGCAATATACAGGGGGAGGAGCTATATGATAAATGTGCAATATACAGGGGGAGGAGCTACATGATTAATGTGCAATATACAGGGGGAGGAGCTACATGATAAATGGGCAATATACAGGGGGAGGAGCTACATAATAAATGTGTAATATACAAGGGAGGAGGTACATGATAAATGTGCAATATACAAGGGGAGGAGCTACATGATAAATGTACACTATACAGGGGGAGGAGCTACATGATAAATAAGCAATATACAGGGGAGGAGCTACATGATAAATATGCAATATACAAGGGGAGGAGCTACATGATAAATGTACACTATACAGGGGGAGGAGCTACATGATAAATAAGCAATATACAGGGGGAGGAGCTACATGATAAATAAGCAATATACAGGGGAGGAGCTACATGATAAATATGCAATATACAAGGGAGGAGCTACATGATAAATGTGCAATATACAGGGGGAGGAGCTACATGCTAAATGTGTAATATATGGGAGGAGCTACATGATGAATGTGCAATATACAGGGGGAGGAGCTACATGATAACTTTGCTATATACAGGGGGAGGAGCTACATGATGAATGTACAATATACAGGGGGAGGAGCTACATGGTAAAGATGCAATATATAGGGGGAGGAGCTACATGGTGAAGGTACACTATACAGGGGGGGGAGCCCTGCGGTTCCGGAGACTTCCATAGTGAGCGAGAGTCAGTTCTTAAAAATAATCCGGATTCTCTCGGTAAGTTGACAATTGTCATCTTCTACAAATTATACAAGCACTCTGTGGGGTGCAGGCAGTGTGTGGGGTGCAGGCACTCTGTGGGGTGCAGGCAATGTGCTGTTGCCCTTGGCAACCAGTGTGAGGCCTGACAAGCTTAAGCTGCCCTGGGTTGCTATGGGAACACATAAGCCTCGCCCCTCACGAATGAAGGAACAGCTGGAATGTGACTGGTTCTTCTCAGAAACAAACCCCGCCCATCCCGGGAGGCGTCACTGGTTGGGGGGAGACAGGAGGGAGGGACCTAAATATATCCTCTCCCAGCCCACCTTTATACCTTGCCGGCTCCGCCCACGGCTCTTCCCCTTTCCTAATAGAGCAGAAAGTTCCGCCTCCTCTGTGTGAAGAAGGGTGGAAGGCCACACCCCTTCCTGGCTGACTGGCATTAGGTGGGCGGGAGGGAAAAGCAGTCCTGCCCCTCCCTCGCACTCATACACACAGCGACAGGCCCCGCCCTTCCCTCTTCAGCCTAGAATGAGGCTCCGCCCCGTGCACGGACTCAGGCCCCGCCCCCCGGAGCGGCCCTGCTCAGTCGGTGAGGCTCCGGTGTGGACGGCGGGATGTCCGCCGTGCAGGAGAAGTACCGGCTGGTGGTGGTAGGAGGAGGCGGGGTGGGCAAGTCCGCCCTCACCATACAGTTCATCCAGGTGAGACACCCAGACTGACAGGAGGTTGTGCTGGAATGTGTGAGGCGGGCCACACTGGGACAGGCTGTGCGTATGTGTTATGTTGTATGGAGCTGCAGGGGCTCTCAGGGGGCCACACTGTACTGCTGTTCTATCCTGTGTACCGGGGGGAGGGGAACACATTCTGCGTCTTCTCTATGTTGTGGGAGGGGGCCACTAGGGGCCACATTGTTTTGCTGGGGGCCACATTGCTGCACTTTTATACTATATGCACTCCTTTAGTATGGCACACTTTTCTGCTCCTCTATACTGGCTCTGCTCT